TAACTGGTGATGAACTGGCGCCCCACTGGGCTGCTTGCTGAGGCGGCAGACAGCATACATCACACGCACGCTACTTAGCCGTGGGGCATCGCGGCGCGCCCCGTCACATGGTAGGGAGCCTGAGCTTCAGAAGAGCGTCACACCTCACCCAGGGTCACAGCACCCACAAACAGCACAGTGTGCGGTCCCAAGGCCACGCTCCTGCAGTGGGGTCAGGCCGCCCCTCGCCAGACCATCTCTCCACCTGGCAATGCATCGTGGTGGGTGGTGCCCAAAGTCAGTCCAGCAGTTGTCATTCCCCATCCTCTGGCACCACTGGGACCCCTCCGCACCCCAAGGCAGGCCAGCCTGGCTGAGAAGGCAGCCCGGGAGGCTCCCTTTTCACCTGACACTGTAAACAGCCATCCTGTGCCAACTACACTTTGCATCTACTTCCAGCCTGTATTTTATTCCAGAAACACTGTCAGAAACCAACGCACAGTGCGAGGGGCCATTTAGACCACTCTCTATAGACAAACCTTAAACTACCTTAGGGACTGACAAATCACACATATGCCCACGATAAATAAAAATAAATAAAAAATAAAAAGTGAATTAAAAAAAATCATTCCTCTGCATGCCTCTATAGGGATATACTTTTAAAAATGAAAACAAAGCTCCCTTTTGCCAATTTCAGTTACTAACCTGTTCCTTACTGGAGGCTCTGGTCCAATGGTCATACTCCAAATGGCTAGCCCTGAGAGACGGAAGCAGCAGCGGGGACCAGAAACTGGCCTGGGCGGCTCAGAGGCTGCTGTGACTGTCCCTTCAGCGTTGGTCACATGCCCGCTCTAAGAAATCGAAAATGTCCCACCTCCGAATGCCAGCTTTCTCATACGAGGGGCCGTCACATTCCACTTTCAACAAGTGACAGAGTTAAAAGACCAAAAGCTATGAAATCTCAAAGTGAAATCTTTCCATCCTGCATGGCCCAACACGGCCAACTGGTTTACCCTGTAGAAATTAATACAGAGAGTGCCCCCGGGAACAACCCTTTCATGTACAGAGCAGAATTTAACAGCCAAGTAATTAAACACAGAAAGTACGGGCTTATAATTAAAATGCTGACAAACCTGAACCAGAGTGGCACAAGTAGGACGGCTATAATATTTTTACAATTCCCTTTTATACATAATGCATGATCCTTCTGCTCAAGTTTCTCTATGTTCTCTGCCTGTGAAATAATTTACATTAATAAATAATTTATTACCATAACTCCTAAAGTAATTATGGGTTTCCATGCAATTTTTTTTAGCATATGAATTGTTTTGTTCTCTGTTCATTGACTTGTATTTACACGACTTTTCCTAGTGGCCCTTCTGCAATAATTGGTATCGCATTTGCCTCCTCACATATTATTTGATTTCCAGGTCTCTCCTCGCCTGAGCGGTGAGGAAAATGGAATGTGTAGTGTCCATTGTCCCTGCGATACAGAACTCATTTAATGGGTGCAATTAGCCAAGGGTGGTGAGCGGAGCGTGCTCTCACCCCACTTGCCCAGCTTCACCAAAAAAGATTAAACTGACACACGTGTGCCACTGGGTCAGCGCAAAAGCGTCACGCAGGGCGAGTGACTGTTGATCTGGGAGCGGGGAGCCCCTGCCTCTCCCAGCACAGAGCGCTTCTGGTCAGGTGCCGCCAAGCCCCCTTCCCTGCCTGCTAGAGATCACGGCCAGCAGCAAGCGCCGGCCCGCCTGCCAGGCCAGCTGACTGGGGGCGGGCCACGGCCCTGAAGCTGCCACCTGACCGAGGCTTCCCGTGTTAAGAACACAGGAACCAGCCATGTACGTGGCCCTTCCCCAGAGAAGCCGCTTGCAGAGGAAATCACGGTTCTACACAGAAAGCGTTCTCGGGATGCTATGGGAGGGGAGAAATGAAACCAAGAGGCAAACACTGTCTCTGCTTCAAAGAGCCCTTCAGGGACCGGGCTGGGCTCACAACCTAATAAGGAGTGCTGGGCCCTGGTGTGGAGCAGGCCGGGCGGTGGCCAGGCCGTGGCCGGGCCCCACTGTGCCCTGCTTCTGCCATTCACCCCTCGTCCTGGCTTTGTTCTCTCCCCCACTCTGGGAAGGCATAAAACTGCTTCCTTCTATCAAGTTCCCGAACTTAGGGTGTGTGTGGGTGTTGGGGGGGGAGGCAACGGTGGGGAGGAGCCCATTCAGCTCACGATAACAAAAAGTACTTAAAGAGAACACATTGTGGTGAGCCCTTGATGACATGAGTAAGGCACTTTATCTAAGTGGGCATAGGGGAGGCAAGGCTCCTGGAAAGGGTGGCTTTTTAAGAGGAAGCAAACAGGCCACTACACTCCCCACTCCAATGAGCTTGCCTGGATTTTCTTCAGAATGCTCAGGGAACTCAAACTTGCCCTGGCTTCCAGCTAGGACCCTTGCAATGGGTGCTTGGGAGGGAAATGCCCTGAGTCACGGGGCCAACCTGTCCCCAGCAATCACGGGAGAATTCCACCAATTGGGGCCAGAACATGAGTTCTTTATCTCCGGGAGACAGACGGGGGTTGGTGATTATAGTAATGGGACATTTTGTCAAGGCTGAGTATCGCCCAGTCCTGGAAAGGCTCAAAAGCCTCTTGAAAAGTCCAGCTAGACCCACCCATGGCCGTTAAAAAGCAGGCATGCGGAAGGTGAGACCTCACTGCCTCAGAGGCCCTCCCATTCCCAGTGCGGTTGGGGCCACACCTCGATGCGATGTGCAGGGTAAAATGGCCAGAGCGGTCCCCAGAGCTTCCACCAGCACAAAGGCCTGGGAAGGCGCCCAGGAAGGGGATGCGGGTGGGAGGGACTGAGCTGGTGCCTTCTGTGTGCTGCTGTCTCTTTAAATCCTACCAGGAACTACGATCTGCAAGAGGAGGAGACTGGGGTTCAGGAAGGCTGATCTGCCCTCAGCTCTGAGGACCCCAATCCACAGGGAATTCTGTTTCTCACTCTCTCGGCTCTAGACAGAAGCCCTCTTGAGCGCAGCGGCTGACTTTCCCTCTCTCTGGGCCAAGTGCCCAACAACATAGTAGATCCTCAATAAACACCCATGGGAACAACCCGCTGAAATGAACCCTGGGGAATGAAAAGCATACATCAGATGGGCTAGGGTCTCCCCAAATCAAGGAGGGGCTGGCCAACAGAAGAGAACAGCCAAGGAGACAGACGATAGGGCTCGGCAGACCCCCACTGGGCCGCTCCCCTGCTCCCTGGCGTACATCAGGCAGGGATGGCTTTGAAACGAAGCCCGGCGTCTCTACCACCAGGGTACGGAGTTGAAGTCCAGGCTGGCCCGAGGAGCTGAGCGTGCCCAGGGGCCTCCCTCTGCTTCCTGGTGGGACAAAGGCAGGCAGTCTCACCACCACGATACCGAGCCCAGCCCGTGAAGCAGGCAGTGAGGCAAGCTTCTGAGCCACGTGGCTAAGTCGCTGAGAGTTTGCTGAAAGCCTACAACCACCAGAGGTGCTCAATCAAGCCCCATGAGGGGACAGGCTTCAGAAGTGTATCGCAGTGGGGGAACCAAGGCCAGGTGATCTCCCTATTTCCACGTCCTCTGGGGGGCAGCATCAAGAGGACCACCTGGGGCTCTCCCACCGAGCAGTGGCTTGGGACTAAGAAGCAAACCATCTTTGTCCTCCCTCAACCTGGGCCCAACTCTGCCAAGGCAGCTTGGTGGGGAGTCGCCTCACGAGGTCTTGGTGTCCCCCTATGCGAATGGGGCGGCCCCAGCGGCCCCACAGCAGAGTTGCTGCGGCGTCCCAGAGACCGTGTCGTGAGGAAGGAGCCTGGTGCTCACTACGACACACCCAGCAACCCCTCTACCCTCACCACCCCGTCTACCGGACAGAGTCTCAAGAAGACAAAGAAAACACGGTGCACAGAGTCAAAGGCTGAGAAAAGAGGCAGGAAGACCTGACAGTCCTATGAAGACAGGCCTGGGATCGGAAGGCCTGCAGCGTTCACCCACCACGGGAGCTTGGTTGCTGCCTCGGTGCAAACATTCCAGAAACTCATGCAGCAGGGTGTCCCCACCATGGGCAGGAGCCATGGGGAGACAGTGGAAGGAGAGATGGTGCCTGATCATCTGGAGCTCAGAAAAATCAACATAATCAATACAGTCATCTCAGCCTCCCCCTTAGGAGAAAGAGTAATTCACACCTGCATGGGCACCGGAGACTGAGACAACCTTTCCAGAAAGCATGTCAACAATATGAAGCAAGGGCCTTCAAAATGTCCCTGTCCCAGGCCTTTCTAAGCCACTCCTGGGAGCTCCTAAGGAATAATCCAGAAAGCCGACAAAAGACAAAGACTTAGACAAGTAGTCACTGTTCATCACAATGGCAAACAGAACACAGCCATTCCACCCAACAAACAAAAGACAGTGAAATCCGTCAGCACCCGTTGATACACAGTGTGTTACTACACACTCATTAAACCAAACGGAGGGGCCAACGCTACCGCGCTGGGGAAAATGGTAGTAAGGACTATTAAGTGAAACCAGAAGAAAAAAAGTTTTTTGTATATAATTTTATACAATCGCTCATTCATTGTGGACTTGGCCATGTAAGAAATTCAAAGAACATTAACAATACACCAAAATATTAACAGGCATTCTCACCGGGTACTGGGGCTAGAAGAGATTTTTATTTTATACTTTACACTATGGTACGTCGTCCCAATGTATCAAAGTGAACATGATTACCTTAATAACCAGACAGAAACTCTCAACGTTATGGTTGGAGATGACATCTGTAAGCCACACCCCAGGGCCCACTGGCTCCCTGAGCCCCACAGCCCGGGTGCCACTCCAGCACGGCCAGGCCCGAGACTGCTCAAGCCCAGAGAAGAGACCCCACGGCTGCTGTGTGTGCCTGTGTCCAGAAAGGGCTTCCAGCATCTCACCTGGGGGACTCAGGCCCTGGGGGAAGGACAAGAGAAGGACTCTCCGCAGCCACCTTGGTTACTCACCCATAATTCCACAAGAGAAAAGTGTCGGTCCTTGACTCATCTTCTTTGGCGTGTGCTGAAAACAACCAGAAAAGCTATTCACTCTTCAAGTCATAAGAAGCACGTTTGTACATGACCCTGCACTGATCCCTCACTAAAGTCACAATTAAAGGGGTAACTTCTGCCTTCTGCCAACGTCAGATTAGGGAAAGGAGAAGAAAGCATTCTAGGAGGCAACACCTGCCCATAATTAGACCTGGGCTCCCCGTCCAAAGTCTCCAGTGAGTTATGGAGTCCATCAAGTTAATGGCTTCAAAACACACACAAGAAAGCCCCACGACTTCTGACACTTGGGGATTTTTCCATGTGAGTGCTGGGGAGGAGGGCGCGGGAGGAGGTGTGATGCACACAGTCACGGAGCTGGGCTATAGAGACGCTGCCCCACAGCGCAGGCTGGGAGAAGAGGGGGCCTCTTGGTGACAGGAGGAGCCCCCAGGGAGAAGCGGAGGCCCGTTCGCCACCCCAGCTCCCTCCCTCCCCAGAGACACCAAGAGAACAGCAACTTATCCTCTCCACAGAAGCACCAGTTAGAGCGCAAGAGGGGGGCCCTGCACCGTGCAAAGCTCCTTCGCCGCTACAAGGAGGCCCCCCAGGCACGCTCCCTGAACTGAAACAGAAACTCAGAGGTTATGTCTGGTTGCAGCAGAGAGCTAGGGTTTTGAACTCCTTGGCACCATATTACAACGGCTCCCCTTCCCACCATAAGCATCCCATGCCTCCCCTCAAGGCCCACACCTAGCCTCACAAAATGCTACGGCCACTGGGAGAGGGACAGGCCAGTGAGGCCCTAGGCCCCAAGACCAGGCACTGCTCCATGGCTACACAGTAATCTGAGCACAGAGAACATTCCGGGCTCCCCTGCGCTAGTTGAGGCATGGGTCAGGCGACCTGTTCTGACCTCTAGTGAGGTGGAGACGGTGCCCACTGGGGCTCTAGGAAGAAAGGTCTGCCTCGAGTGTTCCTAAGACTCATTCCCTCCTTCCTTCCTTCGCCCACTCCTAAGTACTGGTAATTATTCACATGCAGGCTGCACCACAGCTTGAGCCCATGACGGGGGAAGAAGCTCTCTGTCCCAGAGGAGTCAGCCTGTCCAAGAGAACTCCGATTTCTGAGAGGAGCCCCAAATACCAGGGACACGCAGGCGTCCTGTCTGAGAACTGGGTGGGAACCCAGGCCCTGGCGCTTTGGGCCCTGGAAGGAGGAGGGCGGAGGTGACTAGGAATGCCTGGCCCTCCCAGATAAAAGGGTGGCAAGTGCCTGTCCCCAGCTCCCCGATTCAGAGACCTTTGCTCTCGGTCAGCCATGTGCTCACCAGCCTCGTTGCTAAGGGTCCATCCTGCCCAGCCTGGGACACAGAGGTGAAGGAGGCCTGCCTGGGCCCTCAGGAAGCTCACAGTTCATGGAGGACACAGTCCCACAAACCATTACACTACAGGGAGCGTGAGACCAGAGAGGAGAGGGCCCAGGCCGGGGTGCTGGGGTGCGAGAGGTCAGCCCTGGCTTCCTCTCAAGGACCAGAAGACGCCTACAAGCAACATGGCGCCGGGGCGGGCCTGCTCTGGTGCCCTCCTCAGCTTCAAATACGCGTTATGTTTGCAAGACAGGCTGTCCTCCTGGACTGAACCATCCCATTCACAGTCATCCGGGGAATTATCTGGAAAAAGTGGAAGACGGCTGTGTCTGCCTCCCTCCCAAATGACGTGGTTGACGCAGCGGGATCTGCAAAGAAAGCCCACAACCAAGCCACCGAATGGAGAATGGGTGACAATGACTTGAGAGCCTGCCTCCACGCCACACAGCCCCCAACAACCAAGCACGCGGCCCGTGGACGCCGGGCAGGCTCTGCTTCCAGGGGGACGGTGCAGAGTCATGAGTTGGGCTCTGCCTAGGCCAGGGTCCTTGGCGGCCAAGGGAGACAACTCTGACTGCGGAAGCACCTTGGCGCCAAGCAAATACCCGCTGGGGAACCAGAGTCCCTGGCCCACACTTGGGTTGGGGGGCAGGTGGCAAAGTGAGCCACGGCCGGTGGCCCACAGAAACCCAAACCCAGATCGGGCCGGGGAAAGCAGAAGACAGCAAGGAGCCTGAAGCCGCCTGTCTGCAGCATTGGCACGCAGGCCCACCGAGGAGGGCTTGGGGTTTACAGACAATAGGAAGCGAGCCAGGGAACCAGCCCGCTGACCTGTCCTTCCACAAAGGCGGTGTGCTCCAGACAGTGGGGCAAGGCGGGGCCCTCCAGATCCGGGCCCTCCCAGGGACTGCGGACACCTGTGTGGGCACCAGAGAGGCTGGGGTCTGGGCCTACAGAGGGGAGTACCGGGCCGAGCCACAGGGGCTCCCAGGCTCTCCTGGCTCATGCATTCGTTCACTCAGCAAGGATCAGGCCCCGTTGGCTGCAGACCGTTCACTCCCCAGGCTAGAGGACACACACTTGGAATGGGAGTGCTTCTCACTGCCCCCGAAGCCCTGCTCCGAGCCACCACCCTCCACGGAGAGACCAAACCAGCCTCCTAGCTGGTCCGAGGCCCTGTGCCCTGGGCCCACCCTCCATTCTCCACCCAGAACGCAGAGGCCAGCTGAAGTTGCTCTTCTGCTCCCGTGACGTCCCACAGCCACCAGAACAGAACCCGGCCACCCGGCCCGTGAGAGCCAAGCCTGGGCACAGGAGACATGTGCAGTGCTGCCACCTCAGGTCTCTCCATGACAGGCTCCTCACCAGGCCACCTTCCCTGACCATCCAGCCAAAGGGCACCCTCCCCAAGCACACTCTCTTCTTAGAGCACCGCCTGCGTCCGTTCCTTTGCTTCTGTGCTTATTCTCTGCCCCTAAGAATGAAGCTTCTTAAGGCTGCCATCTTGTCCCAGCACAGACTAGGCACCATGTGACTATCTGGTGACCGACAGCGATGGCCACCGGTCTGTCCACACTTATCTTGCTCCTGCCGCCACTCACCCAGCAAATGCAGGGCCAAGGGAAACAGACTTTCACTGGGCAAAACTTGCCACCTCCCCAAATCGATGGGCTCATGCCAAGTCAAAACTTGGTGGAGAAGGGGAGAGAGCACCCGCCGGACAGCTGGGGAATAAGAGGGCAGCGATCACTCGCACTCAGATCTCACGACGTGAAGGAACACCTCCGCGTCCCCTGTTCTCAGTGAGCTCCATCCCCGCTCTCTCACGGAGCACGTGCAAGTGGGTGACCTCCTTCTGCCCTCAGCACCGACTCCTGCACTGGGACTCTTCCCTCCACACCGCACAGCTTCTCGGCGGGACGACGCCTCCATCTCTGCTGACGAGAGACGGGCACGGGACGCTGGCGTGGCCAACCGGGTCCTCTTTGCTCTGGGGCTCCGAGCCTGGACTGAAGAAGTGCGAGGGCTGCTTTACCCAGTGGGGGGCCCCCAGCCTGCCTTGAGCACCTGCCTCCAAAACCCTCCGAGCTGCCCTGTCCCTGACCTTTCTGGGGCCTCCCTCGCCAGCTCTCCTGACAGCTTCCCAAGATGTCAGGCGCAGGCATACCCTGGCCGCTGTTAGGTTTCTCTGAGCCCAACATCAAGGTCCCCTCTGGGCTCTAGACTGGCCCGAGCCAATTCATCCCCGGTATGCCCAGACTGTGACAAAATTCCTGCTGGTCTGTATCAGCCTGCAGCCGGCCTTCCCAACCTTCACGTCCTCCGCATCACTGCAGGAGGACGGGCCGGCCAGTCCCGGCACGGCGAGGCCCAGCAGGCTGTGGGGACTCCAGCCTCGGGCTCACATGACACTCACCGCGCACATCAGAGTCGGCACCCAGGCCTCGGCTGGGGCTGGCAGGAAGAGTACAAGGAGCACAGATCCCCATAACGCATCTCCCACCGCGACGCACCTATTCTCCAGCCCGCCCCAGCCGGGTCTCTGTGAGCGTCCTCAGAGCACAAAGGAAGGCTTTGGAATCAGACCCTCCACAGGGAAAGCAAAAGCTGGACATCCCACCGGGGCTTCAGGGGCCATCTGTCTGACTGAAAAAAGAAGGACTGACTTAGATCAAGACACAGTCCAGTCCTAATGAGGAACTAGCTCGGACGGAACACGGTGCAGCTCTTCTCTGGCCTTCGTCACGCTTCTTCAGAGCTTTGCTCTGCAGATTCTTGACCAAAGCCGTCATGTCACTATTTCCCCACAACACTGTTAAGGGGAACCACAACGCGACACAGGCTCCTACTCGTGCCCTCGAGTGAAACAAGCAAGAACACCCCAGCCTCCAAAAAGGAACACAGCGAGACCATGGCAGTGGAAAGCAGAAGACAGGGCCAGGCCTGACCAGGACAAGAGAAGCCGAGAAGGGATGAGCGGCCTTGTAGAGAGGTTCTTAGACTCGCTGACAGGGATGGAGCAGAGGCCCGGGCTCCCTGGGCTCCCTGGGCTTCAGGGTTGGCCAAGGCCCAGCCTGTTCAGGCAAGAGGCTTCGGACTGTCCCAGACATCTGTGCACCTCTGGGGTCTGACTTCAGGCCAGCCTGGGCCCGCCAGCGAGGCTGGCTGGGGCCGGTGAGCCCAGTGCCAGCTCTGGGGAGCCGCGAACATGAAGACCCTCCGCCCCAGGCAGTTGGGTGCGAGGCCTGACATGGCCATAGACTCTCCCCACTGGGCAGATCACAGCCCGGGCCTCCTAACCTAACAAGAATGAAGGGAAGGACCAGCTCCCCGACCCGGTGTCGCCTACTGTGGGAAATACCTTGAGGCTGGGGAAAGCAAGGCCGCCTACAGCCACATTCCACCCTCTCCTCCAAGACGGTCTCCAGACTTGAGAGCGAGCAGAGACACCGGCCAGGGAGAGGAGGCAGGCCCGGCCGGGGAAGACGGTCACTCTGGCCTGGGAGAACAGGCCACAGGCTGAGTGTGGGCGTGTGGGAAGGGGCTGGGGAACACTGCTCCCGAGGTCAACCGTCTGGGCTGCCTTCCAGCGGCAGCAGCTAATGTTAGAACACTAGGAGGAAGAGCCCACTCCGCAGAGGAAAGAGACCAGCAGAGCTGGGGGGAGGGGGGTGTAAGGGGAACTAAGCAGTCTTCACTGTGTGCATTGTGTAAGCCAGGCCCACTTGGGGGCCAGGCGGGGCCCTCAGCCCTCTCTCTCCCCAGGGCCAGGTGCCGGGAAAGGCAAAACGCTGGGCACTTGTCAGTCCTTTTTTCTGTTTTCCTATATCTCTCTTGGGAACAAGACCAGTCACTTGTCACCAGCATTTCGTTTTTAGAAAAAGAACAAGAGACCTCAGAAGGCAAGGAGGGAGGGGCTACAGGCTTCCTTGCCCAGTGCGTCCAAGGTCCCTGGGTGGCCCCCAGGTGACTTTCACCCACAATTTGAGACCTTCTCTCTCTCACTCCGGGGCCTCTGGGGCCTGCTTCCCTAATTCCAAAGTGGCCTGTGACTCATGTTTTCTTTTTTAATATGAAGCCCACCGCCCCCCCCCTTCTGTTATCTTCTTAGCCTGATTAGAAAACAAAAGAGAAATGCTTTTCCATGTTCCTGTTGTTATCTTGATGGTATTTACACGAGGATGGCGTTGCCAGTTTAGGAAGCCGAAGCAAAGCCCCGTCCGCTCCCTCCCAACCTTGCCGGCAGGGGAGGGTGCATTCTAACGTGCCTTCACCCTCCCTTCCGCCTCACAGACGTCAGCACTGGACCGAGATGATCTGGGGTTGTTCTGGGCTGGTCCCTGTGCATGGCCGGGCTGGAAGTCGGCTTCCCTAGACTCTTCTGAGATGAGTTTCCCTTCCCCTGCGAGGGCTGGGAGGTCCAGCGTTGGCAGGCAGGCGTTCCGGCCACGTCTCCTCGAAGAGCAGCTCAGCGGAACTGGGGCCCACGTGCCCCAGGACCAGCCCCACGGCAAGCCCCAGCCAGGCGGGCCCCGTGAGGGGACCAGGTTCTGCGGCAGCCGCTGAGGCCAACGGCACAGCTGGAAACGGGCAGGGACCCTCCCTTGGGACCTCCGGAGGGCCCTCCCCCCAGAGGTCGTTCCCTTCTGGCCAACGGTCCTCCCAGTGTATTCTTCAGATCTCAGCAGGAAAGCACCCCCCACCCTGCGCCCTCACCGGCACAGCAGAAAGCAGAGCGGCTCTTCCCGCACCCTTGGCTGTGAACCTGGGCAGCAGCCGGAGAGGAACTAAAGCAGTGAGGAGCTGGGCAGCAGGAACCCGCGTCCATTCCCTCTACAAACATCCCTGAGCACCCACCGTGCCCCAGGCCCCGGTTTCAGGCCCTGGGCAGGCACTCAGCAACAAGCAAAAGAAACGAAATTCCTTGGCTTTATGAAGCTCGCATTTCAGAGCAGTCATTCAACAAACAAGATCAAAATGTCAGAAAATGACAGGCGCTGAGAGGGAAGAGAGAGAAGGGGAAGGGCAGGAAAGCGTGGGGGAGGGGGTGGTTCGAGCAGAGCTCAATTTTAGGCTGAGTGAACAAAGAAGAAAGAGAGGGAGGGAAGGAGTCCTGCTGGGGGGAGCGGTCCAGGCCACAGAAGTGCAAAGGCCCTGAGGCAGGCTCGTGCTTGACACGTTGAGGAGAGATGCACCTGCCTTGTGGTCCCTCTGGCTGCTGGTAGAGAACAGGCCAGGCAGCCAGCAGCAGGAGACCAGTTACACCACGTTCCAGACAAGAGAGGGCAGCAGGTGGGACCAGAGCGGCAGCAGTGAGGATGGCGAGAGGGAATCAAACATATTTCCAGATATATATTCAGTGCAAACTGGAAAGGAAGCCATGATGGGCAGAGACCTGACCCATCTCTGCTTGTGGAATTCTGCGAGCCCAGTGGCCGGCACACACACAGTGGTACATAAAGGCCTCAGGTCTCGACGGCTTTCCCGCCCTCCTACAAGGGTTGGAGACCCAGCCTGGCCCGTCTGCTCTCGGCCTGACTGCTGCTGTAAGCTTGGGGAGGGAGCCCACAAGGGTGCTGGGGTGGGCTCTCAGGAGCGGCTCACTAGGAGGGGTGCTGGGCAACGTGGCAGAGTCCTGGGGACTTAGCTGTCTGCAAAACAACTCCTCAGGTTTATTTTTGTCAGAGTGGGACCCTTCCCACCCCCCTGCAGGGGAGCAGCCCCACTCACTTCTGAGGAATGAGGTCTGGAAGGCTAAGGGACTACCCTGTTCTCAGTCTGAGAAGGCCAGTCTGCCTCTCTGGCCCACCCCATCAGGCCACTTGGTCATAGGACAACTTTGGGAGAAGGCAGTGGAGGGCAGCTGTCGCCAAGGCCCACCACCTTGGCCGCCGGATCGCGCCTTCTTTCTCCCTCGTCTCCCACCCTTGACATTCCTGAGGCAGCCGCTCCCACTCCGCACCAGCCTTCCGAAGGGCAGCCGAATCTCGCTCCCACTCGGCACCACCGCCCTTTGGGGAAACTGCCTCCCCTTACTGGGTAGAGGCCACAAGGTATGTCAGCCTCAGCCCGGCAGGGCAGCAGAGCCTTGCTTGGTCTTCTCCACCAGGGTGCCGGCCTTCCCTCCTCGCGCGCCAGGGGCCCTCCGCCAGCTACTCCTTGCAAGCACGCCGCGGGGCTCTGGGTCACCTCGGCCCACTGCCCCAGCCTGCCGCATCTCCCAGGGCTCTGCCCTGGGCACTCTGGACTCAGTCTGCTAAGCCCACACATGCAGTAAATAGCCCCACCTGGACATCAGGCCTCAGAAGAGGTCATCAGGGAAATGAGGCCCACTAGGTCCTTACCAGCTCAGGGTTCAAGGTCCTGCACGCTATGGCGTCGGCTCCCTGGTTGTCGAGGCTTTTACTTAGGATCATCACCATGGTAAGGATCTCAGGCGCTGGGCTCCATCCCAGGGCGGCCACGAGCCATCTTCAGTTGGGCGGACTTGGGCACAGGTGGCCTGCTGGGCACCTCCCAGGGCTGAGGTGGCCTGGCATCAGCAGGAGCAGTTCCCGATCGGCTGCTCACGCTTGGGGAAGGGCTCTTCCAGGAAACGGCCGCGTGCACTTAACTCCCTGAGAAGACAACAGAAAAAGGCAAGGGATTCAGGACTTGGGAAAACCGGGTCCCCGAGAGACCCGGCCGTGCACCCCCATGCTGGGGCCCCGCTCGGAAACAGAACTGCCTCCCTGCTGAAGGAGAGGCGTATGGCTGCAAAGGCTGGGATCCCCTTCTCAGGATCCCCCATGCTGGCCTTGGGGCACCCCTAAAGCCCACGCTCTAGTGGGTACAGCAGTGGGTCTCCGTTCAGCAACATGGCACCTTTAAGACCTAGCTCAGGGTCTGGGTTGGTCACAATCTGCTGTCCCCAGAGTGTACTCAAGTCACATGGCATCTTAAACCCAGCTGGCTTAACAGACAGCTTCAGTATATGCCCAAGGCTGAGGGTCAGACAGGCACCAACCCCACGGTCAAAACTGAAGGGACCAGCCCTCAGGCGGCCTCAGGCAGTGAGGTGGCTGCTGTCCTCCACCGAATTATGAACAGGAGCTACTGGAAGAGTCGCCGGGGTGGGGGTGGGGGTGTCCATTTAAAGGCACATATTTCCCACTGCTGAAAGCGCCACGTTTCAAAACACACATCTGCAAGGCCCCCAGTGTTGCCTCCTTCCGCAGACTGAGCCGAAGCAAGTCACGGCCTTCACAGAGCCTGCCCATGCCACCCAGAGCTGCCAGCAGTGACAGGACCCCTCGTGGCACCATTCTGCACAGCCCACCAGTGCCTCCTCCCGCGTCACCCCCCAAACAAATGCTGAGAGCTGGGCCTTAGCTCAGGCTCGAGAACTCGCTCTCTACATGTTACTTTCTCTGATCCTATTTCCCCAGCCCACCCCTCTGTGGTCACACCTTCAGACAAAGTCACATGGATGCAAGGAAGCTGAAGATCACCCTCACAAAGTGAAAAATAACAACGAAAAATAGCAGAAAAGGGCAGCTCCTAATCTGTAATTAGCAACAAACTGCTCCGTGCAGGAAAATGTTTCAGAATCTGCTGCTCTATGTAAAAATTAATTGCACCCTGGTATTTACTTGCCGTCCAGATTGTAAATCATATTTTCCTGTTTACTTCGATTAGACTTTACAGTGGGTGTTATTGGAATTGCTCAATTACGGGCCAGCTGGCAAGCACAGGAAAATTACCTTCTACTGTTCTTCGAAAACAAGGTTCATCCAAAGTGCAAGAGCAGGGAAGGGGGGTGGGAATCAATACATTTTCCAAGGATGGGTTGTTCAGGAAGACTTGGTGGCATGCAGGCTCCCAGGTCACACTGGAGTTTGAACACCACCTCAGTCTAGAAGCAACACATTCTGACCGAGAGTGAGCTGCTCAAGGAAAGAATGTCAGACCACTCCTCCCAGCTCAGGCCAGAAAGCCGAGCCAGAAATGCCCGCCAGCCCCCTGGACGCTTGGCTGGGGAGCAGGGTAGGAGGGTGCTACGGACTCGCCCTTCAAAGGGACCCTTTGTGCCGCTTCAGGGGCGGAGGCAAGGCCCACTGGCGGCCATCTTCTTTCTGGGTGCAGCCTCTTTTGCTTCTGGGGCAGCCGGCCACTGGCCCGAGGCCGAGGGGGACCTGCCCTTCCCACCCCCACCCCCCATTTCCTTCTTCCCTAACAAGGCAGGACGGCTTGGTGGTTACAAGCTCAGGTCCTGAGTCAAAGACACCTGGGTTGGAATCCCAGCTCTTGAAATGCATTGTCTGAGTGACTTTTACCAAGTTACTTACTCTGTGAGCCTGTTTCTCTCTCCGTAACATGGGGACCACCGTGCCTGCTTCGCAAGATTCCTATATCATCTGAAAACGGAGCTCAAGCCTGGTGCTCAGGGAGAAGCCCTAGCTCATCTGAGGAAGTGCTCGATAAATAGTAGCCACTGTCCCCACTTTCATCGGGGAGACTGTAGGTCCCTGTCCGTTCTCAGCAGCGGACGCCCAAGCATCTATCTGTCCACTTGGATTTTTATTTTAAAGAGAAATTTCATCAAATTTTTTTAAGGCTAAATTTCACCAGGATGGAACAGGCCATCTTACGGCCCATCCCTCTGGTGAAACAGTAGGTGGCCAGTAAGAATGACACTGTGGGAGTCCGTCGCCATGGAAACGTGTTAGGCCATGGGGATGAAGCCGATTGGCACCAGACACAAAGCGGGACGGCGGGAGCAGCGTGGGCGGCCCCACTCTCGCAGCTCCGCCCCTCCGAGAGCCCAGGACCCAGGGCGGCAGCGCGAGGGATGGATACGGGGGCACTGTAAGGTCCTGGAAACGGGCGGTCAGCAAACATGGCAGGTGCCAAACGGAGAGAGAAGGTCTAGCACAAGCCCTGTCCCCGGGGGTCATGGGGAATTCTGTGGATGCAGGCACAAATCCGATGAAGGCAGGTAGGGAGAGGGGGCACCGCAGCCGAGTTGTGAAGAGAAGCCCCTGCACAGGGCCGACAACACACAGCACAACCTACAGGAGCCCAGGAGTGGGGACAACCGAGATGTCATCAACAGGGGGCTGTTTCCATGAAGCACGGCGGAACCATGGAAAGGGACAGCACGCCACTTCAGGCACATCGGCAACAAGGCAACTCTGACAGGACAGAAAGAAACGCTCTCCAAGGCACGCTGCGAGATGAGTACAGCAGGAGGACAGTGTGGTCCCGAAAGCGCGGCCGCCTTATGGAAGCACCTGCCGTTCTGGAGTAGAAGACAGACTGGGCAGCTTTCGCAGGCTGCTTGCATACCCCACCCAGGACCTACAAGACCTTTTCCATGAAAAAGAAAATAGGCAAAATTTCAACATGCAGGAGAGGCACACAAGCAGAGGGAAGGCTGCGAGCAAAGCATGGGGCCCTCCCCTGTACACACTGTGTGGGACTCAGGGAGCACCCCAGTGGCAGGAGCAGAGGGTGTGTGGACAGGTGGCAGCACGGGGACAAGGAGCTGGGAAGACAGATTCAAATCAGACCAACAGCTCGCAATGCCGACCGAGTGTAGACTTTACCACGTGGCCACAGGCAGCTCCCCAAGGGGCTGGGCTACTTCGACCTGTCGAGGAAGAGTGATTCTAGGGGGTCCTTTGCAATGCCCAGCACAGTGCCCTGAACACAGCACGAGCCCAATACACGTTTTGGAATGAAGCTAAATCACAGCAACATCTGAAATGATCCAGGCACATTCTCAGACCTTGTGAGGCAAATCCAGACCAGCAGAGCCTGGCACAATCTGGAATTCCCTGGGATTCCTTTGATCCGTGGCATGGGCCTGGCCAAGTTCACTAAGGAATGCCAATTCCCGTCCAGAGACTTAGAGTCGAGTCTGAGGATGGGGCCAGGGACGGCTCAGGGAAAAGCTAGGAGTGAAGCTGGGCTGGGGGCCGGGGGGTGAGGGGAGACTGGCTCCACCTTTGAAGGAAGAACTGGGAACAAGGTTCTGGCCTGGGTAGAAGGTGCCCCAGAGCCGCAGGTGGCATGATGAAGGCCGCCTACGGGCCACCTCTGGGCACAGACCCCACTCTGGCCTGGTGATTGACAGTGACTTTCCTGAGGGCTTGAGCCAGCCATGCCTCAGCACTGTCCCTCCCCCTCCCATGAAGCAAAGGAAATGGAAGGGAAGCAGCCCCCTTCGGCAAGGTCTTCAGAAAGGCCGCATGCATTTTTAGACTTGCCTCACTTTGGCCATCCGTGTGACAAATGCTGTCTGGAGACAGGACCTAGAGCAAATTTAGGGACACGCCGCGAAGTGCACCTTTGAGTGGGCGGTGCCTTCTGCCAGCAACAAACCGTTAGAAGGGTGGCCAGGGGAGCCGAATCCTGGGTGGGCCGGGCGGGGGGAATCAAGGCTCCTAGCTGTCTCACAAAGGGAACCAAACCATTTGGCTTGCGGACTCTATAGCTACGTGCCCAGAGTTTGAAGGAAGAACATTAAAATATGCGGGAACCTCACCAGAGCCCTTTCTTTTCCAGACCCAGTTAGTGTCAGGAAAAGGGCCTGGAGGCTCAGTAAAGGGACCCGGGGCTGGAATGTGTGGGCTCCAGAGAGACAGTTCAGTGATGTCCCTCGGCCCAGGTGCCCAGGCCTTCCAGCCTCCTGAAGGGTCAGTGAGGAGAGACAGCTGTGCCTCCACCACCTTCAACACACAGAAAACCAGAGACAAAGGGCCTCTTCAGTCGATACGGTAACACCGCAGACGCAAGGAACACCAAGCCCTGTCGATCTGAGGGGATTCCACGGGAGAGACAGAATCCAGGGAGAAACTGCATTTTGTTTTCACCATTTGCCTAATACCTCCTTGGTCTGTATTTGCGGAACTAAGTGTGAAGCAGAGTCTACCTTTCCGCAGAGCATGAATAAAATAAGAGCCAGGGCAGCCGTGCTGGATTCTCAGCTTAGTGTATCCACGGAGTCCCTGCTCGTGGGCCCCGTTGCTATTCCATTCTACAGAGCGACAAACTGAGGCACAGGCCCTAGGTCACCCAGCTGTGAGGGACAGCACGAGGACTCGGGCCACATCTGCTGAACTCCAAAACCTTTGTCTTGACCCCTGACTCTTCTACTCCAGGATCTGTGCATTTCATCATAATGACCCTTCACGTATTTCTCAATTAAACTGACCAAATGTGGAAGCAGAGACACGAGGTTTGTAGCAGTCCTCATCTCCACAGCTCATCCTGAGGTATCCCAGGCCAAGCACCAACCTTCCGGAACCTACTGCTGAGACACAGCACTAGGGTTCCATGGCTGGCAGGGGCGCAGGGAGGCAAGAGGGCGTCAGTGCCATCTATCCTAACAAGCATGGATGTGCAGCTAGGCCAGGCGCCACGTGGAAGGTGAGGTGCTCCCCATGAACACTGGGGTGTCTCCAGTCCCCCGGGGGAGTCGTGCTGGCTTCCTGCTACACCAGCTGGAATCCACGTCCATCTGCCACCTCTCCCCAGGCCTCTGCCTCCAGTGGCCTCTCCACCACAGCCACCCTGCCCTCCTGTCCAAGTCCGTTCCTAGGGGACCCATGGGGGGCCCTCCTGTCCACCTGCA